ACAGGATCGAGGCCAGGAGACAGGCCACCACACAATGTGGCTCGGCCAGCCCCAAGTGTCCCTGGACAGAAGACCCACACTGCTGGGGGGTGAAACCATCAGAGTTGGGTTCGAACACATCTCATTGTGCTACTTATTTTTAGTTTGCAAGGGGAGGGGACCAGCTGGCCACCCGAAAGCTTCCTGATGTCCATCACAATAATTTGATCCAAGAAAGAAATTTGATCATCCCAACTGAAGAAACTGGTTTAGTTTAACACTGTACCACCACAGACCTGACATGCACTGTCCCAGGAGACCTGTGTTCAGGTACGCTGGGCCCTCATCCCCAGGGAATAAGACAACAGGGTTGCAAACCGTCCAGCCACAAACCACCCCAACACCAGAAGTGTTTCAACTTGCTCTGACAAAGATATCAGTGTAAAGGTGGAAGGGAGGAGGCAAATCAGGACAAGCGACCCAATAAAAGCTGTCAGGCTTGGGCGACAACTGGATTTCCAGGCAGCACAGGGGACAGAGTGAGTGTTTAGAGTCAGTTTCCTGTAAAAACCTTCAAATTAAATTCCATGGTTTATTGCAATTCTCCAGATCTCACATACCCGACTTTGCCTAGCTGCTGTGTGCCACAGACAATTTAGCTGATCTTGTGCTTGGACAAGATAGTTCAGCTCTGCACCCAACCACATAAACCCAACCGAAAAAACAAGCAAACAAAAAGCCCAGGTTATTCTTCACCTCTTCCAAAAACACTACGAATTCAAGGCCACTGAATCTCCACACAAAGTTTCAGATAAGAGCAAAAAGATCCAAGTCTCCATAGCAGACACATCATATCCTATGTAAACTTTTCCAAGGGCCCAGAGCTGTCCTAACTACACTGGCAGGCAACACTTGAACCACCATGTTCCATGGAAAGCAGGGGTGTTTGTGCAGAAGAGAGCAGCTTTGACAAGATGGCTGCATAACACCCTCCCCCCAAAATGGGGGCAGGGAGAGAAGCTGACAGCCCCTTAGTCCCATGTCAGTCTACTGCCTTGGATAAAAAAGTCTGAGACAACCATATCCAGTCTCTGCTTCTGTATCTTTGTCTAGACCTGGAAAGGAGAGGCAGAATTGGATGAGGAGCACAACATCCCCTGGCAGCAACCAGCTCACAACTGTCCTAAGTCACAAGAACAAGTTCCTGGCTAATGACGTTCTTCCCTGAAAGGCTAGGGAGCAAGGGGGAGGCAAAAAGAGCATTTAATGCAAGGAGCTCACCCCAACCTGGAAGGGAGGGAGACAGCAGCCCACTGCTGTTCAATCACTCACCTCATCCTCCTGCTAAAACGCTGCTGCAGAGACTCCCACTGCAAACAGGCTGTTCTCCAGGGGCTCTCCCTCTACTCTGGAAAAGCTGCAAGAGACATCTGACTCCAGAACACTGCCTTCACCTCGGCTCTCCCAGCTGCTGTTAACGCTGGCAAGACGTGCTCCCTGCAGCTTGCTAGTGCGAATGAGCCTACTGGGAAATAGCCTGAACCCCTTCCACCCCCATCCCCTAAGAACACAACTAAAAAATACCAACCCTTTTTTCATCAATAAATAAGGAATCTTGTTACCACAACACAAAAACGAAGCATGTTCAAAGTGCAAATCACTGTCGTCAAACTGGGATGCTCCTCCTTGCCTCTCCCACGCAGGGCTCCTGTAGCCCCCGGGCCTCTCCAAGCAAACATGATCTATGAGCCAGGGCGTTCCCCCGACTTCCTGCCAGAGCTGGAGCAGAGGAGCGTGGTGGGGAAAAGGACGTGCGCCGTTTCACAGCTCACCCTGCTGAGGGGGCCTAAAGTGCCAAGCCAAACTCCCAGCCCCAGGAGGAAGAATGAGACTGCAAGGACCAGAGTGCAGCGATGCATAGAAGTTGGGACCAAGGGCAAGAGGGAGTCCTAAGAAACCTGTCCAGAGCACATCAAACGCTTTCTAGTTTGTGAGCGGGGCCACGTCAAGGAGCCAGAAAGGCACCTGCTTTGGGGTAGAGCGAAGGGTTTCAGCAGTCCCCTCTCCCTTGGAGAAATCCGTCACTCAATCCAAGTTGCTCTGGTAATGGCAGCATGTGCCCCTTTCTACAAAGGAGCAGTGGGAGAGACAGAAGTGGTTGGGAGAAAGAGGATGTGCTGTGATCCACACTGGAGGGGAGCAGACCCTTTGATTATTTACTAGTATTGTAAGTTTTGTTTAACTTTTCTCTCTTTCAGTAAGTGTCTCCTCTTTTTTTTTTTCCCCCTCTCCTTTTAAATACAGAGTCCAAACTGTCCCAGCATCCACATGCTCCCTGTCCACTAGGGTCCAGTGGAGTCTGAATCTTCAATGAGCACCTCTGTGGTGGCTCCCAGGATCTCTGTGTTCATGACCAGCCCCTCTGGGTTTGTACTGCTACCACTGCCCACAAAGAGCTTGCCGTCAGCCACCAAGCTCACACGCTCTGCCCCACCGCAGTATGTCTTCGGCATCCCATTAGCAGGCAATCTGCTGGAGCAGCACTTCCCAGGGGGTCGGGAAGAAGGGGGAGGCCCTGGCCATCGGTGGGTGGTGCAATGGCCTCAGGATTAGTGCCCAGGATGTCAGTGCTGGTGATCAGGGCACCCGCGTTGGCAGCCAGTGCTTCAGCAATAAGCACTTCGGGGTGGCTCTTGGCTTTGTGGGCTACAACGCTGTCCTTCTTCTCAAATTTCTTGCCACAAATGTTGCAGGAGAACTGGTAGAAGGAGTCCGCATCATGCTTCTTCATATGCCAGTTGAGGGAAGCCTTCTGCCGGCAGGTGAATCCACAGATCTCACACCTGGGAGGGGAGAAGGGGGAGGTCACAACAAAGGGACATCCCCGCACACTTGTGGGGACAGCAGTAGCAAAGAGGTAGCCCAGGAAAACAGCAGGGGCTCAATAAAATGGCATGTCACTGTAGCTCCAGCTCTTCCAGTTTTACTCGCAGAAGGCTTATGTTCCTCAGACCTCTACTGAGACACTGCCTCAAGGAGCCAGCGAGATAAGTGGCAGCTCAAACACTCCTACAGGTGTGCGTTTAAAGAGAGCTGGGACACCAAGTACAGGTTCCTGCCCCAACTTCAGAGCTGCCCCTGCTCTCAGTGCAGTTCAAGAACAGGTGTATCCAAGGGTCCCCCAAAGTAGGAGAGCAAGAGACAGGCAGAGGTACTCACTGCAAGGGCTTCTCGCCTGTATGGATCATTCGGTGCACCGCCAAGTTATGAGAACTCTTAAATGCCCGAGCACAGTACTCACAGATGTAGTCCCTTTGATCTAAAAAGCAATACCAGATGGAGCATTACTCTCCCGCAGACCTGCTCCCTTTCCCAGCTCTCACATGTTGCAGGTAAGGCTGCCGAAGAAGCAGCAGAAATAGAAGTGCTAGGAGGCCAGCAGGCACAGCAAAGGAGGAGGTGTCCCATGGTACACCACAGCAGCTGATCTGGAGAGTTAAGGCGTGATTTAAGACTCTCCTAATTATTCATTCTGACCAATACTGAAGGACTGGCAAATCAGAATAAAGCTTAGCTTCGCTTATTCCTCTACAGAACCCCCAACTGATACTTGCCAGGGTGTGGATTAAAAACTCTGTAGCCTATTTCTTTCATTTCCTTCAAAGATGGTAATCCAGAAGGAAGTGATACCCTGCTGCTGCTGCAAATCTATGCCACTGCCTTGGCTTCACTCTCCCCAGAAGTCCTAGAGGCTTTTCCATTTTTTCCCCATCTCTGTTCACTGACCTAAGGAGGAGTTTCTATTTCCCCCCTCCCTGTACCTGTGTGGTGTTTGGCA